TCGAACTCGATTGAACTCTAGCAAACAAATTGCGGCCGTACACATACTCATCTCTACGGGAAAGAAAATCTCGCTCGTGCTATCCGAGTATCGAGAAAAACTGTAAAGACTTTTTTCCTTATATTGTCGTCCATAGGAAGTAGCAACGTTTAATCAAGCCAGCCATAATTTATATTCTCGCGCGCTCATTTAGCAGGCAAATTGCGCCTCGTGACCGCTCTCTAGCCCACTACCATTTCCGTTTCCAAACTATTGATTCGGCAAAAATGTATTATTCAAAAGCGCTGTCCTCCCTGCGGATCGCGCGCTCACGTCACTCGCACAGCTGTCAGAACTAAACGGTACAAAGATAATCAGCTCGGCGCATTAAATGAGCTCCATTCGTTAGCTCGCCTTACAACCTAACGACGCTCGTTCCTTCATTCCATCCAACATACAACGGGATAGGCCAGTGTTCCGTTCGAGCACGCGTCCATCGGTCTCCGAGTGACCAAGGAAGCCCTGGCAACCTATCATCACGTGCCACTGCTTGAAGTCAATGGGGTGCGCCGATGTTATTGCAAGGGGACGCGCCGAAGAAATCGAACGGGAGCTTCCTCGCGACGAATGTGCGCCCCGACGATATGGGAGCCTCTCGCCTCTCGCCTCTCGCCTCGTCGGGCTCCGATGATTCCTCTTATCGGCCGCCGCCAGGCTAATCAAGCTCCCGTTAATAAAGCCCTTCGCTTCACCTACGAGAACAAAAGAGCCTAAAAGAGTGGCCGTAGTAGGGCGCAGGACTTTATTTATATTCGGCCACGTCCGACACGCGCACTATACCCCAACGGCCTGTTATGATTATTTTTTTGTGCTGCTGTTTTTTCTTTTTTTAATTCTTTGGTTTTTTATGCGCTTATACGCACGCGGACCGGTGAATCCCCACCCCGGGACGCGCAACCGGAGCCGCCGCTTTGCGTCTTCTCTTTTCGCCGTCGCCTAGTCGCGCTCGCGTCAGTTGCGACTCGGGCGTCGCGGCGCCTGGTATTCTCCTCGCCCACGGACCGCTCCGACAATGGCTTCTTCAATCGGCATCGCGAGTCTCCGGAGAACGCGAGCTACGCTTTTTTTTGCTGTGAAGGAGGAGAAGGAAGAGGCCGTAGGTCGTAGGTCCGGCGTCGTTGGATGGGAAAGAGCGAATGCCGATGATAATAGCCATAGTTTATTTCGAGATCGACGCTGTTCTGTCTGATAATCGCGAATGTAAATAATAGTATCATTCGCGCATCCAGACACCTGATTGAACGTCGAGTTTTTTTTTCATTAGCGGGACTCTGTGTGCTCGTTGTTTCGTCGTATACATTTAAACGAAGAGGCATGTTATCGGCAAGTTAAGCCATAGCCACTGTCGATGGAGAAACTATTGTAATAATGCGCATCGATAATGTTATCGTTTCAAAACAAAAACAAAAAAATTAAACGTGCGCGTAGTGGAGCTGTGACCGTATCGTTAAGCCAGGCGTTATTAATCGCACGGGGGATCGATCGTAAAGGAGACTTGGCGATTCGAGTGCGCGGCTCGTATTATTCGCCTGATTTTGTCGGACGTATTTGATAGGTTGATGGATCGGGGGATGGGGCGGGGAGGGGTAGGGGGAAGGGGGGAGGAAGGCGCGGTCGTTGATCGGTCACACGGGCAAAAATCGTCTTGTACCTAGTTTTAGCACCCAACTGGACAATCGTAGATTTACGAAATTTAAGTGGCGATCGCCGCGGGCCATTCATCGTACTTCTTAATTGGCCAGCTATAATCACGATTCTCTCGTTCGGCATGAGTTTGACCGTTTCAAGGTAGCGGAAGTTAACCTAAGTCTAACCTACAGCTGCCGAGTTCACTCGAAGCTTGGTTAATTTTCTAGTCGGCATTTATCTTAGACGCTTCTTCTTCCAATCGCACGGCCGGTCCCGGATAAACAACGACTCGGCTGCGATTAATTCGAAATAAGCACGAAACTTTATGGCCCTCGATACAGGGGAGTGCGATCTCGCGCAGCGTCGCGAAGGAGTATATACGAAGAGCGAGGCGGCATTATCACAAAATCATGGCATAGAGCCTTTTTATTCCACAACTGGGTCCGGACGGGACGGGACGGGACGCACGGGGACGATGATGGTAGTCGGGGGAGGGGCGAGGAGGCGTGGGAGGGTGGGACAGCGATGTGTGTGCAATGGGAGAAGTGGGGTGGAGGGGCCGCGGGACGGCCGGCCGAGAGCTCGTTGCCAGGTATTTCGCATTGGCAAAACACAGGAAGTCGCCTTTCCGCGTCCGAAGCGAGCGATCGGTAGACAGGACGACGAGCATCTGGCAACGGCCCGCACACGGTGCCCCGCTCTCCTATTTCAGTCGAGTACGAGCGTCCGAACACTGGATAACTTGCGTCCGTCGCGTTCATCGCCTCGTGGTTCCTCGTGTCGGCGTTCGCACCAGTTCGATGGTCGGCCCTTTCCGGATGCGCTGACGAAACTTAGCCCCTGCTCGGACGTAGCGAACGTGGGGTTTGCTTATGTAAAGTGGAACCCGTTGGGCGAAGCCAATAGGTTGTTGGCTCGATATAGTCGAATAGACAGTACGGAGAATGGTGAGGGTTTGGGTTTGGCGTTTGGTGGAGGGGGCGATGAAGGGAACGGAAGGGTACAAGGACTCACGAGAAGGAGCGAGGTATTGATAATGTTTAATAGAAAGGGCGAAAGTCGAGCAATATTACGAGATTCAGTTTATTTTATTCTCTCTTTTATCTTTCATTTCTTCATTTCTATTTTTCACGATCGATGACACTCGCAAATCGTCAAAGTTCGTGGAATACAATTGTCCTTGGTTACGAATCGAATGAACCTACGGGAATTTCGTCTGTTATTATCCGAGTGGCGGAAGGCTGGTCCGAGGCGGGGGCACGGAGTCTGGCCAGATCATCCTTCGAAGCTATTTGAAGTTCCGAGCTACTTAATAAGGTGGCGCCGTGCCCGCAGTCCCAAAAGGCTCTCACGAGTTTGGAAAAGGAAACGAGCAGCGTAGCGATTTACATTAGCGGGAGCAGTTCTTCATTATCGCGCCGTGTCTTTCAGCCGTACAACTCCCAGTCGGTCGGTGTTTGCTCTCGCGTGGCGTTGGGCGCGTAATCAAGGCGAGCGATTTCTAAACCCCCCCCCCTCCCTCGTCCCATTTAGCTGTCGACTCCATCCTCGTCGACGGCAGTATATCGTCCTCGGGGCTGGCTAAAAATCCGCCGCCCCCTGGTAAGGAACGACAGGAGCGCACGAGTCAACAGCGCCCGGCAAGTCTTATCGGATCTGCTCGCGACTCGGAAGGAGCGACATTGGCGTTGGCGAAAACGGTGGGGGTGGAGGCGGTGGCGATGACGACGGCCACGAGCCGACCGTTGTAGTATCGTCTCTTGGTACGGTCGGCCGCGGGAGGTGGCAGTGGCAGCGGCGATAGCCGGAGAGGGTTACACGGGCTCGCGGCTAAACATCCGTAGGAAAACGGCCAATGGCACGGATGCGTCGGTGGCGGTCGGCCGCGGGGGCAGGAGCAAGTCGCTGCGTCGGCTGGTCGAGCCTCGTGAATTGCGCAGTGACCGCGGGTCTCGCGATGGAGATACCGAGGCTCGCGCCTGAGCGCCCCGGCCTCAAGAAGCTCCTGCTGCTCTCGCGCTACTGCCTGCCCTTTGCCCTCTGCTGGCTATGCTGCAGCGTGAGACGGTGAGGCTGGGCCCCGGCGGAGGACTCACCGCTGGATCGACGTATTACCGAGGCCCCTTGGCACGTAGATCCCGTCCTCTCGCCCTCGCCCTTTTCACTTTTAACGCGCGCCCACGGGCACCCACTTTCTATCTCTCAATCTGCCCCCTCCCCCGCCCTCCTCCTCGTAATCTTCCCTTTCAGTCACTATCTGTACATGCATATACGCACGTACGCACGCACGCACGCACGCACGCACGCACGCACGCACGCACGCACGCACCCACGCATGCACTAACGCACGCACTAACGCACGCACTAATGTATCCGTCTAATTTGAGCGCTGTTCGGACGGTAGGACGGCGGTTGGGGATGGGCCGGGGTCCGGTGACCTGGGGAGGGGGGGGGGCTCGCGCTTCTTCCTTTGGTCGCTTGTCGCGGCGACGTCCGGGTCGTGTCGTGGGCATCGCCCGAGGCGTGCCTTTGTTCGCTCAACTCGCGCGTGCGATTCGGAAGCGACTCGAGCGCGTTTAGCACCGAGACGGGCTTGGGCTCGCGGTAAGCGAGGCCTTCGCCTCCCCACGGGATTCGAAATCCCCGGAGCGGATGACCTCGATAAATATCGGCGATTATCCATTTTGCGCTGGGCGATAGTGGCCGCGCGCCTCGTCCTATGCGCGCCGCTCGGTGGCAAATTAATTCTTGCGTTAATCCGCTCCGTAACGAAAAATAGCGATAAACTTTCTCGCTGATATTGTTAGCTTTGCGCTGTAGTGGCGCGATAAACGAGCCGATCATAAAAGTCCGGATTTTCATTGCGCCGCGAAAAGAAAGTGTTCGACGTCGAGCGCGGCTTATCTGAAGGAAACGAGTCGAATCGGTCGGTCGTCGAGTCGCGTCGCTCTACAACGCGCTCTTTAATTCCCCTCGAACTCGTCCTCGCTCGCCCCCTCGCTCGCCCCCTCGCTTGCGAGCTTGCGTCGCGATGAGACTCCTACTATCCTCGATTGGCGAAAGGACGAGCCCTCCCCGCCACGTCCCTCAGACCCGTCGCCACCGCTACCCTTCATCTGGCCCCAGCGAGACACCGCGTCCATTTCGAAGACCCGCTTACCCGGTGTCGGCCTACGGGAGTAGGAGCGAACGAGGCCGTCCCCGTATCCGCGAGCCCACGCGAGTTAACAAGGTTTGGAACGTTACAGCTTCGACGAGTCCTCGATGGAGAGCTGCTCGTTAACGTCGGTGGCCATGAGGACGACGAGGACGACGACGACGACGTTGACGACGACGGGGACGACGATGACGCTACAGGAGGAGCGTGCCGGGGGTCCGGGGAGCGACAGCTGCGAGAGTTGCGAGAGTCGCGACGGGCGGGACGGGCGCGAGTGTCAGGAAGTGACGAGCCTCGAGGAGGCCAAGGCCGTCATCGTGGCGCTCAAGGCCAGACAGAGGGCCCAGGCCCATCAGATGCTAGCATGGAGGAGGACCCTTAAACTGCAGGTAAGTGACGAAGTGACTGCTGACCTTTGCCGACGTGTCGACCGACCTCATTTTATATTCCGAAAATCGATAAATGTATCGCTTTAGTTAATAAAGAAAAACCTTTAGAAATGCAAAATAAAAAATAATCGTTATGGAAAGGCAGATCCTCTGCAAGCGAAACGTCGAACGATCATCCTAATAAATTGCCTACGCATTTTTCATTTCAATAAATTATCATCCAATCGCTAATTCAAAAAACGAAGTTCCTTATATCAGTTATATTATTCTTATATATGTCCTTATATGTGTTGACTGATTACCTTTATACTGCAGAAATCATTATTGATTGTCTTACATAATCGATAAAATGACTTTTTTTCTCTCATTTCTCGCTACGATGTACGTTTGCATTATATATTCGCCCGAATACGTTTAAAAAAAAAAAAAAAACGTATTTAATTTACTTTAATTTGACGCGATAAATATTCTTGGCACACACGCGCTTACGTGCGAGTACTCATATGCGTTTAGGCGCCAACGCGCTAAAAAAAAATAATAATTAAACGAACGTAAAATTAACAATTGTTCCTTGTATACGAAAAGATAAATCGTTCAAATTAAAATTTATTAGATTGTTTAGTTGTTTTTTTTTTTTTTTTTTGTTTATCATCCGAGGCCGTGAAGTTAAATTCGTTAATTTAAACAGAGGTACGTCATTGTGAAGAATAAAAGTTTTGTTAAAAGAGACGGAGAATATGAAAGAAAAAGTAATCCATTAAGTTGAGAAAATGTTGTGTGACAGTCAAAGTGTTTGGATACCACAAGAGATTTCTTTGAAAAGTCTCCTAATTACCTTTGAAATACAATTAGAGGAAAAAGCACGAGTGTCCACTATAGTATAATTCGTAACCTCATCTATAATGAAAATTAATTTGATCTTTGCTTTGATAAAGGTAATTATTCGTACTCCAAAATACAGAGTACCGGGAATGTTTTTTGATCTGCACACGCCACTATAAAATGTACGCCCTAATTAAATAAAAAAAACATTGATGAGAAATACATCTTAAATCCAAGCATCGGTAATTTCACTTTATTTTCCTTCAAAATATTCGCCGTAAATGGAATTAAGAGAGTAGACGTATGTAAACTTGTCAACAAAGTTTCTCTGCACTGTCTCCTTTTTTGCCTCCTCTTTCCCATATCAACTTTTTCTTCCAAAAGCATTACTCTCTAAATTTCTCGATTAGAAGCGGATTTTCCGGCGCGAGATAATAAACATCTCGTTATGTAGCATAAATCGAATGACAACATATTTGGAATTGAAGGAAGAACATTAACTTCAGGAGTCTAAAATCAATGAAGAATTAGAAAGTATATTATAGGTGCTTCTACTGTCGCTTTTATATTTTTTCATTGGTCGAAAAATGTTTCATACTAACAAAATTACTTATTCGACAGCTGGATGCACTACGTATAATACAATTATTTACATTAGCATTAGTATTATACATGCGCATATTAACACCATTTGCTCCCCCCACCCCCGTCCATCCTTTCACGCATACATTCCCGCGCAAACATATGCGGGTGCACACGCGCATACCCCACATAAAATAAACATGCATTTATGCGTGTACAATTGCCTGTAGAGTTCCTATGTCACACACGCACACACATAGTGTGTTATACTGGATTACTGCATAGAAATACTTTTCAAACCAAAGTCAAACTTTGGCAATCTTGAGACTCGAGTAGACTTGATTTGAATGAAAAATTTTACGTTATATTCAGCCTCTTTTGTTATTTAACTTTTACAAATGCTATTCATCATATAGTTATAAATTTGTTTTGCTTTATTGGCGTAAATAAGCCTACACATATACGGCAATAATCGCTTTTTTTCCATAAATGTTCAAATAACAAAATGAATGTACTTTTATTGATTTACTCTTTTATATGTAACAATACATTACAATAATATTTAGATTTTTTTAAATAATACCATTTACGAGGTTCGAACGAAACGTCTTCATAATATTGGATAAATACAAATGTGAATGTCATTATTATGATCATCATTTTCTTCGCCACTAAAATCCTTACGTAATCTCCAACGGCTTAGACCTCAGTTTTTATTTCTTCGTATGAGCTGTTGTTTAACTAAACTAAACAGTCCCTCAAATCAGAATAATAATCTGCATTTGACTATAACTAGCCATTTGTTTGTCGGCTATTGGTTCGGTGTTGCTGAGGCGAATTCTTGTTGGTATTGAATTTACTGAATTTATCATAATATTATCATCAATTTCCCTTTTCAAATTTTGTCCAAGCAAGTTGCTTTAAAAGTTTAATTATTTGGAATCGAGGAATTTAAAAAAAAAAATAGCTTATCAAACGAACTGTCATCGGCATTACTACATCGATAGATACAACTAAAGTACGGAACAATAATTTCAATGAAATATTTCAAAGGATTATTGAGATCCGGAAAATCCCAGCCAATCTATTTACGTAATACATTTCTGAAAGTGAAGGATATTATTTTCCAACTGCAACTCAATACTTATTTCTGCTTATACAAACGCTATAAAACCATGAACTGATGATTATATAATAATCGACAATTCATTTAGGCTTATATTAACTGTAGCTGTAATTAAAAAATCCTGTTACCAAAAAACAATCAGCTGTGAAAATTAATATAAAACAAGAATTAAATTTTAAAATAATATCATTCAAATTTATTAAATAGATGCGTATATTATCATTGGTATACTCTCTATTATTATTATTGTTGAGTACTCTCTATTATTATTGGGTTGTCTCTCTGTGTACGTTTGCCAGTTTATCCGAGTGTGCGCCTATCTCTCTCTCTCTCTCTCTCTGTCTCTCTCTCTCTGTCTCTCTCTCTCTCTCTCTCTCTCTGTATGTATCCTTCATATTGGTGGTAGTAAGAAGCAGTCAAAGTGAGCTCAATTAACTGAATAACAATGCCAATTTAGCATTTCCTTCACTCAACCCCGGGATTCCCGAAAATTATACAAAATTTCACTTATGCGCATTAAAGAAATATTCAGATATAAAAATTCAGTAATATAAGCCTCGCGACATAATGGCGCTGCCAGAGCAGCAGCTATATTATATATATTCACACGTGTAGGAAAAAGTCTCTTGGGCGCGTTTTCCAAGAAACTGTTGCTGTAATGCAAGTACGACCGCTCGCTGGGAAACGAAATCTTATTATCAACTGAACCTGCGCGAACGCGATCCAATGACCGGCTAGAATAAAACGAGGGATTGGCCCGAGCGGAAGTGAGAAGTAACCGGGCGTTAAATTCGATTCCGCATGAGCGCGACATGAAAAGCGTCCCCCGATGAAATTAAGCTCAACAGATGACACGTGTGTCGGTCGAGTAACAGGAGGAGCTCGTCGCCCGGTTGACGCGCGAGAACGCGGAGCAACTGCGCAGCCTCTCATCGCAACTGCTGCTCTTCGAGTCACGGCTCTGCAGGAAGCAAAAGGAGATCGAGACGAATCTGGCGCAGCGCGAGGCTATTATTCTCAGGCAACAGCGGGTCATCAGGCAGCTTCAGAACAAGCTGAGGCACGCGGCTGAACCCCGTCAGGCCAAGTCCTTCGGTAGCGGGAGCGGCGGAGGAGGCGGCGGCGGCGACGGCGACGGCGATGGTGGCGATGGTGAGGACGACGGTGACGGCGCCGGTGGCGATGGCTGCGTACCTAAGGAAGAAAGATCCAGGCACACGGCTGGACGACGGGATTCGCCGCTATGCGACGCCCTCGACAGGCTCGACAGTCTCGGCGACAGCGACAGCGCCGTCGTACTCGAGGAGGCCTTCCTCGATGACCCCGCGCCACCCAGGTAAGAGCACCTACCGGGAGTCTTCCTCTCATCCAGGAATCCTCTTCGTCTCCCCCTAATGAATCACCTGCCCACTTTACTCGGCCTAAGAATCCAAGCAGTTGCCGTTGCCCTTGTACTCGGTCCTGTTTGTTCACTTAGTATTAATTAATCATTATGCCGAAGTAATCAATGTAATGGCGGCTTTCATCTGGGCAAACATTTCTAGCCCCATAAAGGCAATGAATATTTTATTTACTCTGGAATGCTTAATTTGTTAAATTGACAAGTGCGTGCTGGTTGTGTAGGAAACTTGGACTTTTCTGTTGCCCCAACAATACGTCTCTTTTTCACTTTATCGTCACTCATGATTTTCCAATATACACTACAATATACCCTCTCTCTCTCTCTCTCTCTCTCTCTCTCTCTCTGGCAAGATCGACTGTGTACATAATTATTAATCTTTGGTATTGGAACTTTAAAACCAATTACTTTTACATGTCGTAAGTATGACTTTTTAAATATTATTTAAATCGTACTCTATATCATTATGCTAATTATATTAATTTACTAAGTCTGGAAAGTAATCATATACCAAACATTTATCATATTTTCTAGAGTATAAAATACATTTCTTTGCCCGTTATCATTGATAGACTTATAAATCAAATTGTATGTTATTGAATTGAATGAAAATAGTTGCATCGTGCTTCATCATTAAATAACTAACAACTTCTTCGTTCAACTTATTCTATTAAAAATTAATTAATTAAAATGAATATTTAATTACGCCTTTGTAGTGCATACGTCGAGGAAAAGTATCGTATAAAATTAATTTCACATGTTTCTTAGACTTTGACAGACTTTATCGTTTCAATGTTTATATCCTATATTATACAAATTATATATTATCCTTACCCTTGCTTAAGGCCACTTGATTTTTCTTTAAAATTTTGTATTCTTTTTTTATCGTTGAAGCGTTGTAGAATAAATTATTAGTCGTCCAAAAGATAATAATAGAACGTTATATTGTTTCACTATCATCAATAAAGTTCAAGAATGTAAAAGAAACGGTGTGATAGAAATGGAGTAAAACAGTAGATTTTTAAGTGATAAACGGGTTGAAAGGACGAGAAAGGCAACTTGATATTTTATAAACGTATTATATACAATTTTCGTTTTTTATTTTCCCATTCTCTTTACTCAGCTCTAAACATCGAATAAATGTGAAAAAAAAAACAAAAATCATATACACGGTAAATTGTCAAGCTCATTTTAACAATCGTTTCTTCAAAATTTTAATTATATTCCAAATAATAATCGGTGGTATTTCAAACAGAAATGACGTAAAATATTATTTTAGCCAAATACTATTTTGCTGCTTTTTAACGAATTTCACTAAATTTAAAAGCCATGATACATACGTACTTTGTATTCGGTTGTGGTTTGTTTTAAATATTGCATTTGTAATCAGAAAACTCTTCTTTGATAAGCAAATATAATATGTATGCTAAAAGCTTTGAGCAGATTTATAATTTTAACATATTCACTATTATGAATTATCATTATTATTCTTGTTTATGGCTATATCTACTACCGCCATTACTACTATTATCATAAGAATAATTTTATCAATAATAAAGCATAAATAATACTATTATTGGACAATTTGTTAATAAATATATTGAGTTTTAAACGTCACGCGATTCAAAAACTATGGCTTGTGCATACTTTATTAATTAGGTATATTTCATGTACAATTTTCGTCGATATTCGAAGGAATATCCTTCGCCTTCTAAAATTCAACGAAAATTTAAATGGCAGTGAAATTTACTTAACTTAATTTGATTATTATGTAAAAAGTCGTTGGCGTTAATGAATATCGAATATCCGACATTCTGATTAACATGGAAGTAAAATTTTCAGTCAATAAATGATCAACAAGACGATGGTAATGCATGTAGCGAATATTCGACTACGCGTTTCGAACAGAAACTTCTAATGATTATTGTCACAATAAAACATACATAGAAACACGGACAAGATACACGAGAAAAAATTTCTCCTTTACGAGTTTCTATTTCCAAATGTGAGATTAGCCTTGAATATTGCAAGTTTCGAGCTCGGCGTAGAGATGGATTTAAAAATTCTATTCTAGCTATTTATATCACATTCTACATATTTTAATAGCATAGGGACTTGCAGGGACACAGCATGTATTGCAATAAGCCTAAGGCTCTTTGCAAGCAGGAAAAAAATTTAAGTCGCAATCCTCGTTGAATTGTAAAGGGGAAAAAATCGTCCCTCGACTTTCGGCCTCGGTAAGCTCACGACTAATTTCAATTTACTGGTATGGGGATACAAACACACACAAGCACGCTCTGTACGTCTCTCTCTCTCTCTCTCTCTCTCTCTCTCTCTCTCTCTTTCTCTCTCCCTCTTAACGACATCGTATCAATTTCACGACCCCTTCGCATACGCACACGAGGACACTGTGCATCGCGAGTTGGCTCAACGCCTCAACGAAACATTAGGTCCGAGAGCGCAACTTTTTTTTTCCTTTATCCCTCGAGTCACGACAGACCGAGTCCTCGGCCCATAAAGACGATCCACCGATCGAGGACGAAATATTCATTGGCTCTTGTCGCGCTTAGATTCCGTTCCAATATCACGGACGTGACGGTGATTCGCTCGGTCTCGGATGCGGTCGAGCCCGCCAACAACAAGTACTGCGCCTCGATGAGGCGCTGCAATGGCCTCCTGCGTAGGCCGGAGGTCCTCGAGACCGTCTACTCGGTCGAGGAGGATGGTGACGGGGACCGGGCCGACAACGAGGAGGAGGAGGCCGACGAGGAGGACAACAGCGAACTGGAGCCCCGATGCCCCGAGGCCAAGCCGCGTCTACGCGACATCTACGGGAGCTTTGAGAGGCTCGCGCAGCAAGAGGCCGAGGCCGCGGCGACGTCGGCGAGGGTCGCCTCGACGGCCCCGAGCCCCAGCGCTCAGAGAACGAGGGACGAGAGTCAGCAGCAGGCGCAGGTGAGATAATTATAATGATAAATAAAGGAGTTGTGCAATGATGACGAGGAGTGGCGATAATCGGAGAGACTCGTCATCCCGTTTGGTAGGGAGTGCGCGAGGGCGATAAGGCGGTAGGTGAGCCTCGGCCGAGCGGGCTTCCTTCCTTTTTGCCACGACGGGAGGAATTAATTAAAAGCTTTGTTGTCAATTGCCTCAGCGCGCGCGAGACCATAATATTATTTGCCGTGAAAATATTGTCGTCGTAAATTTCAATGTCGGCTGATTTTCATATCGGTGAGCCCGGGAGAGCTGCAAGTTCATGGGACGCGGGGAGTTTGACGAGGCTCCGGGGGCTAATTTCTTCTGACTTATACATAATCCCAAGACGCATAATTCATTCTAATAGACTCTAATTCTTGATATAATTACCATTTAAATGAAATATGCGGTTGTATATGCGACGATATGACCATAACGATAAATCATCGTAACTCAGCAATCGCGTAACCGAGGAACACATGCGAAATAATAAACGAAGTGTAAACGAAAAATTTCAGATGCTACACTGATAAAAACGCTCGGTCGTTGCCTTTTCCAACCAATGGTTATATTAGCGATAAAATGACAAACGTAGCATCATATTTAATTAGACGTAAATAATGGGCGAATAAAACTTTTGACGCGTAATGCCTCTTAAATTAACACTTTTCGTTTCTTTTTTACGTTCATTCTTGTTTCTGACACACTTTGCACGATGCTTTACTGCCGGCTTATAAAGTTTTTCATTTTTGCGTGTTCTTTCATTCGCGAGCGTTACTTAACTAGCTTAACTATTCATTCCGAATACGCTATTAGGAGAGAGTAAGTCGTAATTCTTGGGATTCATTAGAAGTATAATAATAATATTGCGTCCGCCTTATCTACCTTTCAGCTTGAAGTTGAAGGTCTGATTGATATTTTCCTACGCTTATATAATTAAAATATGAGCGAAATCAAATGCTCCAGGGCAATTGAATTACCAGGTTATTACAATTATTGTTAAATTATTAGCTTATAAAATTATATGTCCCTGTAATTTCGATAATCATGATTTTGAATTATTCAAACATATTTTGCAATTTGTACAAACCTAAAGGGGAATACTTTTTTTTCATACGATTTTTCTAAATTACACATTTTTTTTTATAACCTGACATGTCATTCTTTGATATTTTTGTATCTTTTGTATCGATCGCTTTCTGACCGGCAACCACTACAATATTTATCCGCAAAACCAAAACTCGCACCTACTATATCTCATATTAAGTTATACATTAAAATTGCATTAAAATAAAATGTTAATAGAAATAAATTTGCACAAACGTGGCAAAAACTTATGAAATATTAAATAAACCATTGCATATAAATAGATTAAATTAAATCATATTTGCATCGCTGATATTATAAACATTGAAGCGTATTATACAAATATTACACTATAAAAAATAATTTACCAATAAGTCATGATTATCAATGAAATTATTTAACATTTCAAATAAACGAGATACTTCGAGTAACATAATTTCCTCGACCAAGACACTATTCACATATATTATTCGCTAGTATTGTTCATAGCTCGTCGAGTGTTTTAACATTCTTCTTTTTGTTTCATTCCCCCCTGTTCCTCGGCTGTTGGCCGTTCAGGTCACTTACAACAGGGTCATGAGTAATCATAGGTCAGTGACGAAGCCTAAGGATGTCAAGTACAAAAGGATCAACAAAGCTAAATCCAAGAGTTTAGAGGAACTTCGCGGTCGACTGAGAAACTGGGTTGAAAAAGGGAACAAGATAGCCATCTCCTTGGATCAATCTTATGCCTGATGAGCCTGAACGAGTGCCAATACGCAGACGTGCGCCCACGCCTACACGA